TCTGCCTCCTGAGCTGGGATTAAAGGCATGCACCACCACCGACTGGCTTGCTATAATTCTTTTATTCTGAACAAGCATTAGTTTCTCTGTAACTTCTCAAATCATTGCCTCAAATTCTTCTCTGAAATAATCTTCTCTTTGATAGTTTCAAATAATTTTAATATATTTGTGCTATCTAATCTAATTTAAATATGACGTCTAGGACTTTCTTCTGAGCATCAGAAGCAGATATCTGTTTAGTTTATAGCAGTGGTTCTCAAACCGTGAGTCTTGACACATTTGGGGTTGCATATTAGATATTTACATTATAATTCATAACAGTGGCAAATTAGAATTATGAAGTAACAATAAAATAATTTCATTGTTGGGGGTCACCACAACATGAGGAACTGTATTGAAGAGTTGCAGCATGAGTCAGGTTGACAACCACTGCTCTAGAGTCTTGGTGTAAAACTAAGTGCCAGGGCTTTCTTGCGATTTTACCAACTCCCAAAATCCATTTCCTGTTTCTCTGCAAGGACTCTGGCACTGGATTATCAAAGCCAACCTCTGGGAATTGTCTTCAGCACCAGCTACTGCTCTCACACCCAAACTTTCTTACTGAGTAAGTCTGGTGCAGTCTTTGCCTGTAATGAACTCTCCATGTCTATTGCAGCCACCATCCTGAGTAGAAACGTGTTTCCTTATCTCCCAGCTTTCCTTTCTACTCAGCTCATACTCACCCTTCTAACCTCAGCCTGTGCAGCAGCCAGACTGAGCTCTTGAGAAAACAAAACTGATATTTTTTCTTTACAGAAATCCTTTAATGGTTTTTCATCCATCTTTGGATGAAGTCCAAATTCCTTTTGAGCAATGAAGTTCAATGGGATCTGGTCCCTGAATATCTCTTCAGTCTCCCCTCACCTAATATTTTATTAAGAAAATTTCCAAATAGGCAGCAGAATGAATGCAACTGCTTTGCAGTGACTATCTATGGTCCCACTTGGGTTTTATCATTAATGCTTTACAGGCATTTTATCATATTGATGTCCATTCACCCACTCCTGTGTTCTTCCATTAAATCACTCTTGGTTTTGGTGAATTCCTGACTAACTACAGACTCCACCCTCATTTTTAAACACCTTTCCCCTACAGTCTAGATATAATCATCTCTCCATTCCTTGAATATGTCAGATGATTTTGAATCTCTGGGCTCCCGTGGTCATTGTCCTGCCTCCCTAAGACACCTTTATCTCTTGCTAATGTAGATCTCATCCTTCAGTTCTCAACTTAAAACTGCCAAATGATAATCTATCATTGGATCCCAATCCAGATTAGACACATGTTCCACCATATGTATGCCCTACATATTGACTTGCTAAGTTAACAATTCAATGGTTTATCTACCCTGATAGACTGGCCATCCCATGAAGGCAGAGGCCATGCCTGTATTTGACCACCATTTTTTTTAAATCTCTGAAGAAAGTCAGGTGATATTTCTAGAAAAACTAAAGACAGAACACATCAATAACTGGTAGGAACCACATGAAGCCAGTAACCTATTCACTCTTTAATAATGTATGAAAAAGACAGTTTTTCTTAAGACTTCTGGGAGAAAATGGAACTTATTGATGCCAAGATATAACCAGCAATTAACCAGCAGATAAGAAAATTGTTAAATGATAAGTTCCCTGGTTAGAGGACCAGGCGGGTGGCTTCTGCCATATTACTAATAACTCTTCCCCTCTAAAGTACCCCAAATCAATATACAGTCTAAACAAGGGGGAATGTTTGATATGCAAACACAGATGAACGCCACAGTTGTAGCAGATTGGGGCTGATTTGTAGTAGGTGATATCCTGAATGCTTTCTCTGTAGCAGATAGCTTTTTATGTAGTAGGTAATATCCTGAATGCTTTCTCTGTAGCAGATAGCTTTTTATGTGGTTCTAATGTGACTCACATTTAAAAGCTATGAAGACTGAGGACAGTAAAATTATTTTAACCCATGTCATTATGACACTATTCTTTGACCCCATTTGGAAGTACAAGGTTAATCTAGAAAATCCAGACTGTCATAATGAAGACAGGTGTTTCAATTACTCCAGAAGACATGTAAAAATGCAGAAAGTCATTTTTAGATCTTAAAGATCCAAGGCATGAACTCTTGGTTAGGATACCTTGAGCCCCATATCTGACCAAACCAGCATGTTGACTTGTGGTCAATCCCAAATCTGTCTTTCCTTATATGTCACCCATGTGCACATTTAAAAATTACTTCTGAGAAGAATTCTACTCCAGATAGAAAGGAGTTCAGCTCACACACTAAGGAAACCATTGTCATCTTTATGGTCATAGGAGACAGCACAAAGAATTTCCTAGTGAAAACATGTGGGCATTAGTCATTACCTAGCTTTAAGATAAGATGTTCCTTGTAACTAGTAACATCTCTAGACCTCAGGGATGTTGGATGGCATCCCACTCTGGATATGCGGAAATGCACATTGAAAAGCTCAGAAGAGTGCTTGGAGTAGAAATGCCTGATGATGTTAATGCTGACTTGAGAAAGCAAAAAAGATATAAAGATGGAAAAAAAGTGGGAGAGAGCAGTAATTTTGATGGCCCATCCAGGAGGGAGGGGGGAAGGAGGGAGGAGAGAGAGAGTTCATAGCAATTGCATTGCTCTTAGCTAGATGAACCTGCCTACAGCTACCACTTACAATGCAAATTGAGCTTAGAGTCCTTCCCAGTAACTACACAGCAAACCCCTTTCAGCTTTAAATAGAATACTGCAGTGTGGGATGAGCAAAGGGGAGAAAATTCAGAGAAAACGTTGGAAGAGAATTTAGGGGAAAATATCCTGCTGTATTTGAGCAGGCAGAAGTGTAAATGTAGAGAGATAATAAAGGAAACAGAAAGGTATTATCTGCTAAAGGACAAAGAGGATGATCCATGAGTCATGTGTTTAAATTGTCAAGAAGGAAAAGAACTTGGGTAGGAGAATTTTGGGGAGAAGACGGATCTGGTATTCTCTTGGGGTAAACTGGCACTTCCTCTGATATTCATTAGAAGGGGTGGAAAGGCTCCTTCCCTACTGTCCAGCTCAACAGAATGGGTGGTGGAGAAAATAGATCAAGACTACAGAGAGCTTCTTGCTCCACCAAGCTTCTATTCCATTTCCTCCTCTTCCCAACTCTTCATTAAGACCAGGTACAGGGGTCTATGAGCGATCGATTTGTACATACCAGGAAAAGATTAAAGACTCATTTCTGTAAACTCATGCCCCATTGTTACTATATGAACTCAAATACTCCATCCAGAATTAGAATGAATAAAAATGGAATTAAATAGAGTCAAAGGTAGTATCCAGGACCCTGGAAACAATAAAGGATGCCATTTTAAACTTCTTCCTTCCAGAAATGACATTCCTATACCCCTGACTCCAGTTTAGTCACCTTCTCAGTTTGGTAGGTTTCCCTTTGCCTGTGCAAGGTAATATAAGAAAACATGAAGGCAACCTTCTTTCTTTGTAGTCACACACAGAAAACTCCCCATCCACTGCAAAGCTAACAGACTCAAGGCTGACTTCTCTGGTGGCTGACAAGCCTACATGTCATATGCTACCTGGTCCCACTCAGTCACAAAGCACAAAGACTTATAACCACACTACCAATGTGGAAATATTTGTAAAATTCATCAAGAATGGCACTTTCTCATTATGGGGCCGGGATGGGTCCATCTTCAAAGTCATCTCTATGTCTCAGGTACCAAAGACAAGTTGGGCTTGATGGTCCCCAGACGTGGTGATGAATGGAGAAAGTATTTTCAATAACTCTTGAAATTCTTCTATCTAAAACTTCAAGAGATGTTTGTAGAGGGTGCCAGCTGTTTTATTTCCCTCAGTGCTGGCACTCTTACTTGAATCATTGCATTTCTCTGGCATTCTTCTGATTCGATTAAACATTACAGAAATTTTAGCATTCTAGAAGAATCACAGGCTAATATGCCTTACAACATTTTCTTACATGGGTTATTATCATAGGACAATGCAACACTTTGTATTAGTTGCCAACCAAGACCCACAGGTAGAAAATGAAGCTCAAATGCAAAAGTTGTCATTCGAACAAAACTAAAATGTCTCACACACACAAAAGGCAGGCTGCAATCCACCTGCTGAATTTCCCTGAAGGCCTGCTCATGGGGGTGGGGGGTGGGGATGGGGGGTTGGGGGTGGGAGAGACACAGAGAGAGAGAGAGAGAGAGAGAGAGAGAGAGAGAGAGAGAGAGAGAGAGAGAGAGATTTTCACCTCTTGCCAAAGCTCAGCTTGCTGAACCCTCCTGCTTTCTGTTGGCTGTTGATTCAGCAGAAAGTACTGCTGCAGAATTCATAATGGTGATTTTTAAAGGGCCCCACGGATCCCGTTGCTCACCCCACGTGTCAGCCTCGTTTGCTGCCGTAGAACATGATTCCCCAGCTACCTTTTAAAAATTTCTGGCTCATGTACTTTCAAGGGGAGAGGGCTCCCCCACTTTTGCAAAGGGCCTTACAGGGTTTTGATTGTCTGAGCAGGTAAGCCAGCGAGTCAGAGAGATGAATGGGTAAGAAATGAAGCCTTGCCTTCTCTGCAGCCACCAAGAGCCATGGCATCACCATACCCAGAGAGGGGTGGACTACGGTCTCTCTGGGCCCCTCCCTTCTTCTCTCAGTTCAAGACTCTTGAAAGCATCTTGGGGGCAAGAAGGGGTCATCTGCTTCCTTGGGATCATCTGTCTGCCTGGGAGCCGCGCCCTGAAAAGCCTAATCCCTAAAGGCCATTTTAACTCTCGTGGCGCCTGGTCCACCTGCTGCTGAACTGGGGCTCGAGTCACAGAGCCCGGATGGGTGTACCCCTAAGCAGCCTAGCCTGAGCCCCCGCCCCAACCCCAGAGCCGAAGGAGTCTCAGCCTGGCCGCTGGGCGAAGCACAGCTATCCGCAACTTGCACCCGACCCCAGCGGCGGAATGTGGCCAAGCTGGCATTACCTTCGGTCGCATAGCTGTGGTCGCGCAGGAAACTGTTGTTGATTTTGCGGGTATCAATGTCCTCCTCCATTGACAGCAGGCTTACTTGCGTGGGAACCAAAAGCCGGCAGACAAGTATCCATGATCCCACCCCGCAGCCAGTCTCACAGGAGAGGGGGGCAGGGGAGCCAGTGGGATTGCACCATGGTCCGAGCCTGAGGAGGAGACGGGGAGGCGGAGAGAGAAGAAAATAAAAACCCGGCAATGGAGCTGTCACCTCCTCCACTTCGTTCTCCTCGGCTGCGGTGGCTCCTCCCGCACGGTGCGCTCACTTCAGCTCCAATTCCCAGCGAGGATGCTGTGCCTGCCTCCTCTGCCTCCGGGTACCAAGAGGCACTGTGTCCCCCACGAGGTGTTGGTCCTGCCTGGCCTCCCAGGAGTCACTCCCAAGCGGGTCTGGGGAGATGCCCAACAGGTTCCCCTTGGTAGGCAGCAGCTCCAAAATGCAAAAAAGGAGAGCCCTCCTCCCCTTGGGAGAGCGGGCAGCGGCGACAAAATGGTGCCTTTCCGGACCTACACTGCAGTGGCGATATGGCAGGGGCAGGATTCAGGCTTGCCTTAGAGGTGAGGGTGCTGGTCCCACGGGAGGGCGGCTCCCGCAGGCGGGGGCTAGGAAAGCTGGCGGGGAGCTAGGCAGGGCGCTGCGGCCAGCGCCAGCGCACTCACCCTCACACCCACAGGCGCGCACTCGCAGCTGCTGCTGGTGGTGCTGCTGCTCCTGCTGCAGGAGGCTGGAGGCGGCTGGTGCATTAAAGGCGAGGCTCCTCCCAACCGCGTCAGCAGCCCCAGGACTCTTCCTCAGCAGCAGTGAGAGTCCAGGCAGAGGCTGCGGAGGCTGCGCTCTGCTGCAGAGGGGTGCATGCAGCAGCCAAGGACGCCTGGACAGCAAATGGCTAGCTTGCAGGTTCACCGAGAAAAAAAAAAAAAGGCGTGGAAGCGTGGATGCGCTTTCCCAACCTCTCCCCTCTGGTGCCATGCAGCCAAGGGCAGCACAGGGCTTGTGTTCCAGAGACTTTTAACTCACTGCTTTGCTCCGGACACCTGCCTGTACTTCATTCAGGACAGCATTTAGAAGTAGCTTCCTTTGGGTAGAAATTCACATCTAGGTCGCCTTTGCTAACCAGATATGATGTGCACTGCCCCTTGCTGAAGTTCAAGGGCGAGGCCTAGAGCTCCAAAGCCGGAGAAAGCTGGAAAAGGGGCCTATTCCAAGGCTAGTCCTCCACTCTGGGACTAGAGAGCAGAGCAGGGGCCAGAACTTTGAGACTGCCATCATGCCTGATTCCTTTCCAAGCAGTCTAGCATGTAACTGTGAGATGTTAGTGTTCAGAAATGCACCAATATCTACACAGGCAGAGGCATAGTCTGCACAACACAGGGCTGAGTTATGATTCACTATATTCAGTCTGAAAAAACGCACTTTCTGTAGCCCTCAGCATTTTCCTTTGGACAGACACCAGAGCCTCTTCAGAATGCCTTCCATGTGCCCCCGGGCATCATAAGTCCATTCCTGCAGAAGGGAGACTGGGACCAATGAGAGCCACTGCTATCCCGGCAGAATTTAAAGGATCCAATGGCACAAGAAGAGGCCTGCCTTCTTACTTCACCCAGAGCAAGACAGGATCCATTCCTCAGCCTACATTTCCCCAAATGGCAAATTCCGCATTTGAAAGAAAATGAGATCGTTACTGTTATGAAACAAACAAAATAATTTAACGGAGCAGTCCAAGCCACTAGAAGAGCAATTTGCAAAAGAACTTCTTTCCTCATGAAGTAGTAGCCATTTCTATGGGGTGATGCTGTAAGGAGAGACATCAGCAAATGTCTTGCTCAGTTAAGCTCTGTGCGAGTTTAGTCAGATGGGCCCCGAGGGACCCGTGAGTTAATTATATACATACAATGAATGCTTGGGCTAACACAATTTAGAAAGTATTTGAAGTTTGAAAAAATGGGAAAACAAGTCCTTAACTGAGGTTGGGAATTGCCACTAGGTTTTTAAGGGAAAAAATAGATGTTTCTGGTGGGTGGAAAGTGGTAATGCTTCCACGCCAAGAAAGTAGCTGCAGGGGTGAGGGGAATAGCAGAAACGGGTCTCTACAATTAGTCGGTGAAAGGTGAGCATCCAGTAGATTCTACTCTGTTTTCATGCGGTAGTTAAGTCCTACATGCTTGTCTGAGTATTTGTTCGAAAGCCGCATGTGAAATTTAGGTAGCAGCTGAGAGTTGGTACAAGTTGGTTCAATCTACTCCAGTATGGGCTGTCCTAGTGGCATCCTCCATGTTGAGCTGAGGGCCTCACCATGCTGCGGGGTCCACAATTTTCTCTTCTCTTGCAGATTGGCATATAGTAAAGAAAGAACAGAAGGGAAAAGGGAAGTTCATCTCTCAGCGCATGAAGGTGCAGAGATGCCTTGTCTTCACTTGAAACGATTGTAGACTGTAACAGCAGGGTTGAGTACCTACTGGGAAATTCACCACCTTGTCTTTTTAGAACACGGGCTAGACTGTAATGGAGCTCTATGGTGGATCAAACGGGCTCAGGCTTATAGCCAGACTAGGTGTGAGGAATTTTCCATAGTAACCCATGAGAAACACAACCTCTCCCCAGCCCCTGAGTCCACTGAATTTCCCTTTGCTGTGCTCTGCAATATTCTGCTTGTACTTACACAACAATAGAAAAGACACAGGTCATAAGCAGGCAAATGAGAAGGACTTCCTTTTCCACACACTAAGCAGGCTTCAGAGTTCTGAAAGGCCGTTTCTTGCCACTTAGATCACACCATATAGATCTCCACTAAGCAGGCTTCAGAGTTCTGAAAGGCCGTTTCTTGCCACTTAGATCACACCATATAGATCTCCACTAAGCAGGCTTCAGAGTTCTGAAAGGCCGTTTCTTGTCACTTAGATCACACCATATAGATCTCCACTAAGCAGGCTTCAGAGTTCTGAAAGGCCGTTTCTTGTCACTTAGATCACACCATATAGATCTCCACTGTTTTTTGTTTCCCCAATAATTTTTGTCTTTTTCATTACACTTTATTTTCCAGCATTTGCCCATTATTATCATCATCAAATATTTTCATCATGACTCCAATATCAGGTGCCTGCCACTTAGCAGATGCTTGCTTATATTTATTGAATTATAGTGCATATTGAATGAATAAGTAAATTATCAAATATAGTTAGTGGTATTTAGTCTTTTATTCCTCTATTCATGATAAAAATCATGCCAAAACAATCTATTATGAGCCTACAGTTTTCTAGTTTACAATCCTACTGCTATGGGAATAATTGTTCCCTCTGTGTTCTACATGTATGTATGGTAAAAACTGCTAAGCATTTGATATGTGCTAGTGTTGGTCTACATGTTGGGGATATAGACAACATGAAACAAAGTTCCTTTCTGCACAAAAGTGTGTGAGCTTTGGGTTGGACACATGCTATAATTGAGCTGGTTGTGGCGGATCAAGGCCAGCATGCATGGGCTACACCTTTAAAGGTGGGTGGGGCAGGAAAGAGAGCTCAGCAGATACAGAAGCCCACAGTCATGCCTGATGACCTGGATTTGATCGCCAGAACTCACATAGTGGAAGGAGAAAACTGACTCCTGAAGTTGTTCTTTGACTTTCATATTCATGCTGTGGTGCGCAAGCACACACACATACACACACACACACACAGACACACACACACACACAGAGTAATACAAAAATTCAAATAGACATGCCATAGCATAACATCAAGTATCAAGCTCCAATGTCAGATAAAACTTATTTTCATCTACCTATTACATTACTGTGTCCTCGAGCTGGTTACAAAACTCTCACCAAGCCATAGATTTTCTTACCTATAAATTAGGGAGAAAAATGGCATCAATTTCAGAAAATCACTGTGAAGATTAAAATAAAATAATACCTGTATAGAATATACTTCTATTATTTGGAGGTTCCATTTTGTTTTGCCGTCATTACTACCATTGATTTCCAACAAATATGTGTACCAGACACTGACACTGGATGGAGATTCCACATGTCAGTTTGTGAGATGGTTACTTGGTCTCTATTATCATGGACCTTAGTGTCCAATTTATAGTTTAAGTAGAGGCTCTACAAGCTCCAAAGCAGGTGGCAGAGGGCACTCTGAAAGGCTGACCTAATTTATCCTGTGTCAACACAGAAAGAGTCAATTGCAAATACACCACACTCTTACATTACCCCATTCAGCATGTGGATACATCCTTTTTCTCACCCTTATCCTTGGTCCTCTCTCTCAACACAACCCTCCCTACAAGTCCAGGTAGGCTAGTTAGTGCTTGTGACACATACTGAGACCCTTGACTTCAACCTATGCAATTAACACATGAAACAGCTACAACTTTATTAAAACCCTTGATCCACTCCAGTCTAGTGAGTCTTAATGTAGTCTTCTGGTATCAGGAAGTCCCAATCTGTATCCCAGCTCAGGCACTTATGAATTCCTTAAGCTGTCACAAGTCATTTAGAATTTCTGAGCCTCTGTGTCTACAAAGCAGGCCAAGAGCCCTAGAAATCACTTCACAGGGTTGTTGGTAGCTTCAGAGACAATGTAGGGAAAGTGCTTAGTCCAGGCTTGGTCTAGAGCCAAAATTCTCCAGATGAATGATGGTTTTCTCTCAGCAGTGCTTCATGGAGACCTCTGTCTCCAGAGGGCTAAAGAGTTGCATGACAAGTAGTCTGCTACATGAGCACAAGTGACCTAGAAACCCGGGGATAACCTCTGGCTCTCTAAACAACTAGAAACAATATAGCTATTTTAGCACCTTGCAAAAGAAGACTATAAGCTACAATGTTGACACAAATGTCAGAAAAGAGGGCTCTTCCTTCTGGTGTTCACCAAGGCTACAGATCTGACCACACTTCCTCAAGGGAGGAATGCCATAGGGTTTCTTTCCAAGAGCTCTAGTCACCCAATGTTCACCCTACTCTCTGAGGTGGGTTATGTGCTGGCTGCCCAGAAACTGGGCTCTTGGATTTCAAGCAACTTTGTTAATTCCTTCTTGTGCATACTACAGCTTGTAACCCCATATGACTGATTCTTTAACATGGCATTTAACTTAGGAAAAGAAAACAAAGCCTGGGATATTTGTACACTGTGTGAAGATTTATTGCTGGGATTGGTTTAATAAAGAGCTGAACAGCCAATAGCCAGGCAGGAGGTATATGCAGGATTTACGGGCAGAGAGAGGAAGAGAAGGAGGAATTGATGGGAGATGCCAGGAGACACAGAGAAGAATCAGGAGGAGCACAATGGAAGGGAGGTGACATCCCACGACAGAACACAGATTAATATAAATGGGTTAATTTAAATTGTAAGAGCTAGTTAGGCACAAGCCAAAGCTTTAGACTGATCTTTTGTAATTAGTAGGAAGTCTCCATGTCATTGTTTGGGAGCTGGCTGGCAGGACAGAAAAACTCATTACAAAAGCCTTTTGCTGCCACCCCCCCCATCAGTGCTATATGAACTTTAGATTAGGGACTGTCCAGCTGTTCTTTGAGTGACATCATGACGGCAGCATAAAACCTGAAATAGGCTGTGATGAGATAGTTGTATCAAAGAAATTATAAGCTTCTTAAAATACTATATAAATCAATTGTTATTTTTAAATGTGAGAGCCAGTCTTT